CTAGCTGGTGAAACTATTGTTCTATCATCACAACACTTCTTAGATACAGTAGTTTCTTTATGATCCATTAAAGATAACAATATGTTTAAGTACGTCACTTAAACACATTGTTATCTTTAATGGATCATAAAGAAACTACTGTATCTAAGAAGTGTTGTGATGATAGAACAATAGTTTCACCAGCTAGGCATGTGTATATCTCTAATTATGCAGGGAAAACCTATTGGAAAGCTGGTGAACCTAGTGGTTTCTTATTTGGAACACTCGGTGATAATGTAAAGGGACAGAATAAATCTTTTGACTTAAAATAGATTTTTTTCAGTACAATTGGTAGTGATTTATGGACTGATATTCAATATTTGTGATCATATTTTGAAATGATTTTTCACCCACTCCAGTTAATTTTATAGTTTTTTCTATTTGATGTTGAAAGAGAACTGACTTTTCCTATTGTTGTACGTTTCCAATTCCAGTTTCATTTTTTTTGGTTTTGTTGCTTAGGAAAATAATTTATTTTAAGTTTGTCTTTATTTCGATCAGATCTTCTTAGTTGTTGATCAATAGATGCAGATTCAGTTTAGGGCGTACCACATGTTTTAGATTCTTGTGGTGTCCCATGATCATAACCGAGCTGTCAGTTGGTGGATATTTTGACACGCGGATTTAGGGTGACCAATGAGTTGATAGAATAACAAAATGTACACCATTTGACGATTTCTTGACCTACCAGGAAGTAGCACTCCGAAGTGTCGGTCTTCGACTCCGATGCCCATCGAAGGACCTATTTCGATGGGTGAAATTCGCAGAGATTGGAGAAGTTGATATTCAGACTACTCGAAATCTTTTGCAAATTTCAAAAAATTTTAGCTTTCAGTTATGACCTTTTTTTCGAGGGTTCGACACCCATCAGTTATTTTTGCAGAAAAGGAGAATCGAACATATGTACTTACGATTAAGAAGTTTGTGCAGATCAGATGAAGTAAATACGACTTTCTAGTCTTTGATAAACTTATGTTTCGTCTTGAAAAATATCCTGACTTGAACTTATTGATATTTTCTTTTAATAAATAATTTTGATGATCTTTTTTCTGTCAAAGAATGTATGAGTAGTCTATTATTATGAACAATTAATAAAGCAGCCTACCTGTTATCAGTTTCATGGTATTAAATAGAAGATTCATATTACAAAAAAACTACATTGTAATTTATTTGAATAAAAATATAATTAAAAAATATTGGATTAAACATAACGATAAACCTCGCTCAGCTGATCTACTTAGGATTAGGACATTGGATTATACGAATAGCTTTGAAGATAGAAAGACAAAATAGCAGTTCGAAATTATTCTACTGACCAGTTTTTTTTTGACACTCAGTGTCCAAATATCAATGCGGTTTCATAAGCTTGAAAATTATGGAAAATTCAAAAGATAATAATTCATTATCGTTTACTTTTCATCACGAATGTGCACATATTTCTATTATGATTCTAGATCTAGATAATAAAATCTTCATATATATTTTCATAGTACGTAAGAATTTGTGGTACAAAGAAAACTTTCTCAATTATACCATTGGATAAAAAGTAGTGAATCAGTGGAAAATCGAACTTCGAACAATTTTTGAACAATAAAAATTAAACCAAACAATCCAAACCTTATGGAATACCCGAAAGCATTCTTCCGATAGATTTTCTCTTCGCTATTAGTCGAAATATGGATAGGCTTGAAGCGATCAAGATGTGTTTGAAAAATCGAAATTGAATCAAAGCTAGAAGAATATTTCCGAGAGCTTGATATTCAATGGCTACCCAGGCGATCGAAACTGAAAAAAGAACGGGAAACAAATGTATATTTTCAACTTTAAATCACTCGTCGCACCCATCCTTCGCTTTATAAGATTTTCTTGGGTAAGATTTGTTCTGTTTCTTGCAAAGAACATTTTTCTTTGTAAATTGATTTGAAGTTATTTTAAAACGCTTTTATAAACAACAATCTTAATAAAACATCTAATCATGTAAAAGTTTAATTTTAATATAATTTTTTTCTATGTCTATTTTGCTAATGGTAATGATCAATAGGTAAAATAAGTAATGAACGAGATTTGATTCATGTGATGAAACCATGGAATTATTTTTCTGCGTTTTATTTTTTCTCTGATAGAAGACATTCCAATAAGTATCCTTTCTCTTCTTGCTTAGTATTTTTTTGTTTTTTCTTATCACTTCCAGACGATTCTCTAGACGAGGCACTACATGTTTCTTTTGTGCGATTGTATTCTATTCTAATATATTCTATTTGTGTCGCGATGACGTAAAAACGACTGCAATATTGCTTGCTAAAGTAGTTTTGCTTGCTTCATTCATCGACACTAGTCTAGCATTTAATGATGTGTGCGAGACCAGATGCGTAGGCATTACTGTTGCCCATCTTGCAGCAACTAGTACTGTTTTCAATAGCATGATTACTGAAGCTGATACAACAGCACCCACAAAGATGTATGAAGTTGCATGTGCCAAATATTTAACAACTGTAGTAGGAACGCCAACTTTCTAATAATAAACAGTGACATTAACACTTTTTAATGAACATAATCTCTAGTTTGATATATTTAGTATTAAACCTAAAACTTTTTTTGGTTTATTGAATTTAATCGAATGAAACATTGCAGAAAAAGTATATGAAGTCCGAGCTTATAGTTTTAATTCAAAATTAGACTCGCAACTGAATGATGTTTTTGAATGTATGAACAAGAAATCAGATTGTTTGATAATGTATCGTCGATTAATGTCATTTAACATGTCACAGACAAAATTTATAGATGCTTTATCACTTTCTCCACATAAGACTTTACACACGTACATCGGATAAATCGTTCACTCTAAATTTATTAGGCTATTCATTTATAGAAATGGTTAAGCAGCATTTGGTTTTATATTATTTTACGCATTTAGTTCCCAGTCGGTAAAAATTAAAAAAAAAAAAGTAAAACTTCATCATGATCACACCATTTTGTTTTTCTTTCTTTATCGCTGGTGTTAAATATCATTGCATATATAAGCACTATAAATATTCGCAGCTCGCTTTACAATATTCATTCTATATACAAGATACAAAAAAAGTAAGAATTACGGTTTGCATATACTGGTTGACCGCAATGATGAGATATTTATCAATCCACGTTACTCAAAAACTGTCGCTAGTTATTGTTTCTTTTAATTTTCAGATATATTATCGACTAAAAAAATGCAACTTTCAGCGATATTTTTATGTATTTTCATTCTCACAGCATCATGCATTGAAGGTGGTTCGGCGGCTTATGATATATGTCAAGCCGGATGTGCCGTCGTTGTTGCAAGTTATGCAGCAGCTGATGCTGTGTTTGGTACTGTTACTGCTTGAACGGGTACACCAGCAGCCATATTGGCTTGTAATGTTGCATTTGGAAAATGTTCTGCAGCTAGTGCAGTTGTAGCACTCATGCCAACACCTTAATAATAAACTGTGACATTATCAAATTTATATGAACATAATCTCACTTTGTTTTCTACAATTATTTCATAAAAGCTGATCTATTAGTAGTAACCGAAAGACATTTTCATTTTTTTTTTATCATTTCTCTCTAAAAATAAAATGTATAACATTTAATGGTTTTAACTTTTCGAACTAAAAGCCATTACTGCATTACTGTATTAATTCTATACTTAAAATTGTGAAAAATTTAAATTGATTGTGTAAATATGACTTGCATTCACATCTTTTGAAAAATGAAAGCATTTGTAACTTAATATGTAAATGCGAAGATTTTTCGATCGAAAAATAATGTCTATGTGGTACATAACTATAACAGAAGACTTTCTATCGAGTAGTTTATAGTTATCTTTGTTTTTATAAATATGTAATTGTGTGAATGATGAAACTGGTGTATCGATGTATTGTTCATAAGGAAAAATTTTGAATATTCTTATAATATTTAGATCAGTATATGATAATCCTCATTTTATTCATGAAAATAGTTTGATAGGATTTAGTTCCAAGTAGAATGTAGAGTCTTGTAATAATAGCTTTCTTTAGTTTCCATTTTGGGTTCCCGAAAAAAAAAAAATTTTGTTTTGTTTTCCATTCTCTAAGTCTTGCAGAAATTCCTATTTCCACCTAACTTTTCTCGGTTGAGAATACTTGCTCATTTTTTAATTGATTAGAGATAAATGCTAGCTGAAAATCAGACAAGAATTGTAAAGTTCCACACATTCTCAGCAGATAGAAATTTTTAAAAAATGTTGGAACTAGCTTTTTTTCATAATGTTTCTGTTTCCGTGATTGTCCTGCTGGAACCTGAACAGGACCAAAAAACGTTTCTGCAGAACTCTGGTGTCATGTAACTAGGTTTTGAGAAAATAGACTAAAGGCTTTCCCAGATTTCGAATCTATAAAAAGGTTTGTAACAATTCTTGAGTTTGATTTTCTTGTTTGAGAAAGGTATAGCTCTTACAATTTAGTTATGTTTTACGAATTTCAGCTATTTTCTTACAATAGACTCCACGGACTGAGAAGTCGAAGTGAATCTGAAAATCAACGTAGTTTTATTGTGCCTTCATCGTTATTCTATATGTACCTGTCTAGAAAAGTGCAACACTTTATCTATGACTAGTGACCATCGTTATCAGCAAGTGTGAAAGTTTTTCGGGACTTAGAGAGTTTTAGGAAGTGATTCAGCCTTTTGTTGCTCCGTCGCTTATAATCGTATTCTTTATTTGAAATAATTACTTCTCCAAAAGTTTTTAAAGATATGAGATACAATTTAGAATTTAATCAAATTCGCGCTGGATTCTTTTTTTCATCAATGATGTTTACAATATCAGAAATCAACATTTAATTTCAAGCAGATGAACTCTTTCACCTTTAATCTTCAAGAATATATTAAAGTTTATTTATTTATTTCTTTTTCAACATAAAGAACATATGACATGAGTTAAACAAAAAGAAACTAAATATAATGCAAATATAATCCAAGCATCATATGCAAGAGTATAAACAAGACTTATTTTTTTCATAAAATCTGGTTTAAATCCTGATAACGTAGCTGTTGTAATTAATATATTTGTACGATGTTTCATTTCCATCATATAATAACGTGATGTTAATATGCATACACAACATGTAAAAAATACCAAAAAGAAGAAATTTGATTGAACTGATATATAAAATGAATAAAGAAGTCGAACAATAATTCCAAGAATAAACACAACAAAATGTTGTTTATCAACTATAATCATTTCTTTGGTATTTTCAAGTGTTGTTGTTGTTGATGATGACGATGATGTGAAAGAATTCAACATATTCGTTACCGAAGTAATTGTTGAAACCAATGATGATGATGATGATGCCGATGATGTTTGTTGTGATTGATTATTATTAACCATAGAAATAATTGGAGAATTGATTTCTTCGTTTGGTTTTCTTAAAAGTTCATCTGGAGCTTGTGAAGATACTGATACTATTGGTGAACTATCAGATAAGTTCTCATTTCGATTTATTTGTCGAAGTTTAGCAAGACGCGATTCTGAATTAGCTAGAATGCGTTGACGACGTTCTTCAGCAGTTAACATCTGAAAATAATTTAATTCATATCAAAAAGATTCAATTTAATGTTGTTGATACGGTTTGAGGTATATATAAAATTATATACACTCATATAAAATTAAGTCAAACAATTCACTGATAAGCTTTTGCAAGAATCAATAATTGATAGTTTAAGAGGTTTATAGTATATATTCATTTCATTATTTGACATGAATTTATACGTCAAGCTGTCTCTTTAAGGGTAAATTTTTTATGAAATCTAACTAATTCATTCAAACTGAAATGTTTATTTGTTGCTTGCCCAAACCTTCTATTTATCGATACATTAGTGAATGATTTCACGATATAAAAAGTGGCAAGAAATTCAAATCAATGTAGGATATACTTAGTGAGACGACATCTGGATTTAAAAGGAATGTCAACAATAGGAATTTCAATAGAAACATATTAAAACTGATGGTATGTTAAACTATATATTTTATTTTTAGCAAAAAAAAACAGTTTTATACGAATGATAGCGCTACAAAATAGTAATATTTCGACAAGAGTGTAACAAATTTTACATGAGAACAGTACACAAGTTAGATGTCCTTATAACCAATAAAGTAGTTTCAGTTGATCAAAAAAAAAAAACAAGTTTAATATTATCAATCATCTATATCATCGATTTATTTCATAACCTGCGAACGGTAACTTTTCGAAATGTGTTGCATTCTAAGGGCGTATACACATGCTGAATGGATGGATGTATAGGGCAATGTTTGAAGATCATTCGATTGGATTATAGTTTATTGAATCACAGTTTAATAGTGTGATGTCACTCTGACAAGTATATTTTAAATAAATTCATAGACATTGAATATTTTTGTTTTAATAAAATAGAATGAAAATTTTTATTTTTTCTTTTCAAACATCTCATATTTTCATATTCCTTTCTTCTATTCTCACCAATCAATATAAAACAATTGATATTTGTTTATTCATTATTCTAATCGTCCACTCTCTCGATGGTCACTCTCAGCCATATCTCTTTCTTTGTTATTATTATCGATAAATATCTCTTTTCTTTTCATTTTAAAACAAAATATATTTTGCTCTATTCAGATCTAATAATAATAGAAAAAGAAAAAATGTCCACAACGCCAGCAACTGTTGGTCCTCATAGTCGTAAAAAGGTCTCTTATTATTATGATTTTGATGTAGGCAATTATTATTACGGGTAATTTATTCAAGAGAAAAAAAAAAAAAAACAAACGATTTTCTGTTAAATTCAATCTTGTTTCTATATAGACAAGGCCATCCGATGAAACCACATCGTATACGTATGACACATAATTTAATTCTTAATTATGGACTTTATCGTAAAATGGAAGTTTATGTATGTATATTAATTCGAAAATAATATTTTATATTTTTGTTTGCTAAAAATTGATTTCTTATTTTAAGCGTCCACATAAAGCCATAGCTGATGAAATGACACGTTTTCATAGTGATGAATATGTAAAATTTATTCAAAATATTCGACCGGATAATATTCTTGATTTTAATAAACAAATGCAACGATTTAATGTTGGTGAAGATTGTCCAGTATTTGAAGGTCTTTATGAATTTTGTCAAATATCAGCTGGCGGTTCATTAGCTGGTGCTGTTAAACTTAATCGAAAGCTAACTGATATAGCTATCAATTGGGCTGGTGGTCTTCATCATGCTAAAAAATCTGAAGCATCTGGATTTTGTTATATCAATGATATTGTTTTAGCTATTCTCGAATTACTCAAGTAAATTCTTTTCGTTTTAAATGAATGAAGACAAATAAAAATTTTTAATCTATGTTTTTAAGATATCATCAACGCGTACTTTATATTGATATTGATATTCATCATGGTGATGGTGTTGAAGAAGCTTTTTATACAACAGATAGAGTTATGACGGTATCATTTCACAAATTCGGAGAATATTTTCCGGGTACTGGTGATTTAAGAGTAAGTTGTTTTGGTAGTTAGAAATGTGTATTCAGAAATGTCATGAAGTGGCTAGGATTAGTGGATGGATGGCTCGGGACGCCAATCGAAAGATTTTTCCTACAGTTGATCGAATTTGTAAGAGGGGGGGGGGGGGGGGGGGGGTGGGTTTTTTTTTAAAAATCGGTAAAAAAAAAAAAAACGGAAGTTTTCAAGATAGTGGAGTCATTCGCTCGAGACACTCCTGCTTATATTCTTGAGATTCTCTTGAGAAACTAGCCCTATTTTTGTGTGTCTCCAGTTCACTTACAAGGATTCATACAAAATCGTATGATTACAGTCTTGTCTGCAAAAGTGAGGCCGAATAGTTAAGTATGTTTGTATGTTTTTTCTTTTTTCATGAAAATTTTTTAGACGATTAGCTACAGATCTGTCGAAGACGCTGAAGTGTCAAGCATAGAAAATTCTTGAAACTATGAAAAAGGTTGTCGGAAGTTCGAGAATATCCACGCTATTGGATGAGACTTTCAAAAAGTTTCTAACTGAATTTATGACAATGGAAATTTGCAGAGCTTAGTTTTTTTTTCTGAATGATTTTGTTTTCGTCATTCGTTTCACAAGGAAAATCTGCTAACTAACAAAGGCTGATTGAACTGGTTTGTGTTTTGGGAGTAAAGAGGCCTCAGTGAGATTAGTAAATGCCTGAAAAAAACGAACCTCTGGTTTTTTTCGAAATGTATTGATAGCTATCCTATGTTTTTTAACATTTGAAAGAGGAGTTGATACAGACATGAAAATAGCCGTCAGAATATCCTGGAAGCTTCAACAAAACGAATATATTCATTATCCCACGAAGGAAGTCTCTATGTTGCGAGAAAATGTGAACATGTTCTAAGGACTGCTAGATGTCTCATATTCGCGGCATTTTATTAGTTGATTGAGATCCAGTCATAAGCAAAAAAACCAAGTCAGTTGAATCAACGTTTGTCAGGTATGGCCTTCCATTATTAGCTATTTTGGCAGAAAAACCATCTTAAAAAAACAAATGTACTAAACGTTTGACTGATATTTATCTTCGTGTAAACTAGTAGTTGAATAAACTACGAAATATTCAGAACAAGGATTCATGCACACCATTCCATTTAGACTTATCTATATTTACCTCGTACAGTAAGACATTCATCTGTACGACGGATAAAAGCTGTCAACGGCTTTCTAATTGATAGGAACTTTCAATAGTTGATATTCTTTACGTAATCAGTATTGTCAAAATCTCAAGCCTGTAGACAACCTCAAATCTTCTGATTCAAGACGGGAAAATTTAAAATTATAACTTCTTTGGATTACACGAGGTCACATAGAAAATAATTTTCTCCAAAATGACACATGTCCGAGCTATCCATCACATTTTTTCATTGAATAGTTTTAATCTTACAAGAAGTTCATAAGCCATTTTTGTTCAGTTCTCTCTATGAAAATGTCTAAAAAATCGTGTCAGAGCGTATTCTAATATCGGCAGAGTTCCCTTCGATAATATCGTGAACATATCGGAGGTGCGTCATTTAGTAGATGAACAGTTAGTCTGTTTTCAGGAGGGAGCTTTTAGTTTTGAGTTGTAGGTGCTGAAAGGTTATGTACCAGTTTTTCTAGAGTTCTTTGATTTCTGAATATGTGACTTACCATTAAGGAAAAAGATCAACATAAAATTTGGATGATTGATTTTTGGTGTGACGGGATGGTTCTCTGAGACTAAATTAAAATTTCTTTTAGGATATTGGAGCTGGTCGCGGAAAATATTATGCCGTGAATTTTCCATTGCGTGATGGCATTGATGATGATTCTTATGAAACAATATTTAAACCAGTTATGACAAAAGTAATGGAATCATATCAACCAAATGCTGTTGTACTTCAATGTGGTGCTGATTCATTAACTGGTGATCGTCTTGGTTGTTTTAATTTAACTCTTAAAGGTTTGTTTGTTTTTTTTTATTCAAGAATAAAAATATAGAATATTGTTTTTTTAGGCCATGGTAAATGTGTAGAATTTATGAAAGGTTTTAATTTACCTTTATTACTCGTTGGTGGTGGTGGTTATACAATACGTAATGTTGCTCGTGCTTGGACATACGAAACATCAATTGCACTTAATCAAGAAATTCCGAATGGTAATTACTATTAATAAATGAAAGATATAAGAGAAATATGATTGATTTGTTTTTCTTTATAGAATTGCCTTATAATGATTATTTTGAGTACTATGGACCAGATTTTAAATTACATATAAGTCCATCAAATATGCCTAATCAAAATAGTTCGGAATATTTAGATAAAATCAAGTAAATATTTAACAAAAAAAAAGAAATTTTTCTATTTTGAAATTGATTTTTTTTATTAGAGTTAAACTTTTTGATAATCTTCGAATGTTACCGCATGTACCGGGTGTTCAAATGCAACGTAAGATCTAAACGATAGAACAATGTTGTTGGTTTTTTTTTATAGATTAGTTTTGTTGTTTTAGCTATACCAGATGATGCTATGGATGTTGATCGTGTTGTTGATGAAGATAAAGATAATGATTCTGATAAAGTAAATTAATTTTTTTGAATAAATCAAAATTTTAATAAAATAAAATTTTATTCTAGCGTATATCACAAGTACAAAGTGATCGTCGTGTAGTTGATGAACGTGAATTATCCGATTCAGAAGATGAAGATGGTGATAATCGACGTAATCAAACAAATTTTAAACAAGTTACAAATAAACATCAAACTAGTTCGGAAACAGTCAATGGTACAACTGTAACTCAAATAACAAAAGCTACTGAATCAACTGTTGTGATACCATCGACCTCTAGTGAAACAACAGAAAATGGAACAACTAATGAAATAACACCAACAGGTTCAGAAGCAATTACAACAGCAACTATTGAAGAAGTAAAGAAAACTACGACAGTAGAAGATGAAAATGAAACAATAGCAACACCGACAATTGAATCTACAGCAACAGAAGGTAATCCAGATGGCATGGACACATCAGAGTAAGTTATAGAATATGTTGATCATT